TTGGGCCCAATTGTTGTTGTTGAATCTGAAGTTCCACCAAAGTTTGATAGAGTAGGCAAACTGCAGCTCCTCTAAGTCTCTGATTCCCAGTCCTCCTTCTTCCTTGGGTAGGCAAATGTTCTCCCATTTTGTCCAGTGGTATCTCTTATTGTTATTGGTGTGTCCCCAAAAGAAAGTTGCCATCATCTGTTGAAGCTTGTTTATAACTGATTTGGGTAAAGAGTGGACTGCCATGTAGTGGAGAGGAATGGTAGACAAGACATGTTTAATAAGAATTAATCTCCCCATCTGACTGAGGGTCTTGCTGTACCATTTCTCAATGTAGTTGCTAAAGTGAGCGATTAGATCTCCACAGTCCCCTTTCTTAAGCATCCCTTTACATATTGGGGTCCCCAAGTACTTGAAAGGTAGTGTGTCTTTTTTCATGCCCAGAGATCTTTCCATCTGTAGGGTTGTATTTGTGTTAACTCCTTTACCACAATAGAATCTGCTCTTATTATAATTAATCTCTTGGCCTGATGCTTCTTGGTATTTCTTGAGGATCTCCTTAACTTTGATCAGGTTGTTGCTTTGACTATTACAAAAAATGATAACATCATCTGCATAGGCCAAATGGCTGATCAGTTTCCCTCTTCCAGTGTTGAAGTTTGTAATATAACCTGTGGACATATAGAATTTCAGAGCCCTAGACAGACCTTCACTGGCTATGATAAATAGCAGAGGAGAGAGGGGGTCCCCTTGCTTGATCGCTCTTTTCATTTGGAAGAATCCTGTTGGACTGCCATTAATCAGTAGAGATAAGTATGTAGAGTTAAGATTTGCCATTAAAAGGTGTTGTGCTTGAGAAGAGAAGCCCACTTTTCCTAGAACTCCTTGAATGTATTGCCACTCCAGTTTATCAAATGCCTTAGCCATATCGATCTTTAGGATAACATTACCCCCTCTAACCTTGTAATCCAGCTTGTGGACCATTTCCTCCACCAAAAGAATCTGTTCATCCACTCCCATTCCATTTTGAAACCCAGTCTGTTCAGGGGAGATAATTTTGGGAAGCAGAAGATGGATCTGTCAGCAAGAATTCTAGTGTTGATCTTGCTCATAAAAGTGGATAAGGAGATGGGTCTGTAGTCATTGAATGTCTTGGGGTTATCTGTTTTAGGAATAAGACTTAAGAAGGTACTCCCATAACATTTAGGCACCGGAATCCCAATGAAAAATTCCTGAGTAGCACTGATGACATCCTTTTTTATTGTGTTCCAGCAGGTTCTGAAGAAGCATCCATTGAAGCCATCTGGACCGGGGGCACTCCCAGGGTTGAGAGACCAAACAGCCTCTCTAATCTCATCTTCCAGAGGTAATTTGCAGATATTCTCATTATCTGTCTGTGTTACCAAATTCTCCATGAGTTCTAATATGGGCTCCATATTAATATGATTGCTAGAGCTAAAGAGATTTGAAAAATGTTCAATAGCTAACTCCTTTATAGAGTCCATGTCATTAACACTCCTGCCATCACTATCTTGGATAGTTCTAATCTTGGATTTAGATCTCTTGTCTTTGACATAACCATGAAAGAATTTTGAGTTGCAGTCTCCTTCTGAAATCCATTTGATATTTGCCTTCTGTTTCCAGAAGCTCAGTTCATT